GAATTATCTGATTGCTTGTTGATTTGCATAGCTTTTTGATGAACAACATACTAAAATTCAACTAAGTTTGAGTTTTGAGCTTTTAGGGAAGGTATAATCCTCGATTTAGTCGTGTATTCACTCACTTTATAATTTTATGCATTTCTTCATGTCAAGTGCCACCTGAAGTAGACTTTCCACATTAATTAGAGATTGTCACAACTGTTGTGGCTTGAGTCCAGCGATTGCTTGATGAGGGTCTTGTATATAATTTGTGATTTACATGTTGATTAGCAAGTTGTTTGCACAATATTCCACACTAATTTGAGCACATTAAATTTTCTTCAAGTTCAACTTTAATCTCTTTCCATGTGTTGATTAATGCCAATCTAGAAATTCTTAACTCTCCTTCAATAGCAAATCACCCAATTTGTGTCGTGCCTACAAGTTTCACCTTGACAAACCTTGACCCGATCTTTTGACCTATTATACCTCATTTGTGGGAGAACTAGTACTTCCCTTTGGGAGAGGATTCCATAACTCTATCATTTTTATGAAAGCCCTTTTATGTGGTGTACTTTTGCTTCGACTTCCACACTTTATCTCATTGATTGTGCTCGGGCTACTGGAGTCGAAACTGGTTGGTGCTTTGTCGAGTCGAGGAAAAGCGGATTTTCAGTTGGTTCAAAATTCTCCTTAATGCTTGAATCTAAATGTGGTACACCTAAGTCCCTTGGTCAAGCTATAGTAATACTTGGTGTAGTCCGAGGTCAATCCTTAGGGAATGGATAAATTGAATAAAATATAAGAAAGAATAGATTTGTAAAAAGTAGAATTGATTGAGAAACAATTGGAAAAGTAAATTTAGGGTAAACAATAATTTGAAAATTTTTTCTAGTTTGGGAATCCAAATTTGCTCATATTTATTAGAAAATTATATTTATGCAATATTGATTTTATCGATTGATTTCTAACGTCAGTGTAGTCAACCAAAAAATATTTTGATGAATGAACAATTAGTTTGATTGATTTAAAAATAAACTTTGAAGAACTAATTAAAATAATTTTGAGTATTATAAGCATTATTCATATTAAGATATCAATCATGTTGATGAATAATCAAACAATTCTACAAAGTATCAAATTTTACTAAGAACATTCAATCAATCGAATAAATAAAAGATTTAACATTGAGATCAGAATAAAAATTGCATAAGCATAAAGATTTGAAAAAATATTTACAGATCCATCAACCCTATCCAGAAACTACAAAAAACTACTCATAACTCTGGGCTAGATCTCCAAGAATTGTGAGAAAAAATAAAATAATAAATTAGGTTAAAAAGCAGTTTGGTAGGAAGAAGAATGGATTCTAGCATAAGGGGTGTATTTATAGTAGGTAATATTAGTGCAAGAAAAGATTTGTTGAAATTCTCCACTCGGATTGATCCCTACAAAGTAGTAAAGGACAAAAGGCATGAAAAAATGGATTGATCCCTTTTAAAGAGGATCGGTCCCTACTTTATTGTTTTGTTGGGCTTGATAGCTTAATTTGTTTAATGGCTTGAGTCTTCATGGAATTGGCTTGATTTGATCATGGTCTTGGAGACTTAGCTTTGCTTGACTTGGATGGCTTAACTTTGGTGGCTCATGAACAACCAAATGGATCGATCCTTTTTAAGGGGGATCGATCCCACTTAACATGGATCAATCCACTTTCATAACCGTTCGATCCCTTCCAACTTTATGTAATTCCTTTTTCTGCTATTAACTCCCCGGATCAATCCTTCAATCCAAGGGAACGATTCCTTGCCATGCAGCTATTACGCTATTTACTTGCAAAATACCAATAAACATCCAATGAACATAAAATATAAAATGACATTATAATAGAGGTAAGCCAACGACAGTATAGTGTGGGGTTGTCCCTTCATAATATGGTAACTCCGTCCATCGTCACATGTCCATTTGACCCACAAGTGTAGGTTCATCAGCTCTTGTACCAAATTGGTATATAACCAATTAGAATTAGTGCAAAAGAATAGTTGAGGGTTAGGTTTAGTCTAAGAATGTTTAAGGGTTTGGTTGATGAAGATTTATAAGGAAAAGGGCTTTAAAGGTGGAATGAAGTCTTTCATTGGTTGTGACAATAATTTGTGAACAGTAAAATTTGAGTATAGGGCATGTTAAAAGAAAAAGGTTGGATTTGCTGTAGATTTCTTGGGGGTAAGAATAGGCCTTAAATGAGTATGCTTGCAAGTACTAAGTTGTAGAAAACTTGATAGAGAAGAAGAATAAGGAGAAGAACACTAGGAATCATGCCTATAAAACTAGGAATCCATTATGCATACATGGGGTTAGGACTGCATCATACAAAACCCAAGTGGCTTTAAAAGCTCTAACAAATTCTCTAAAATTGATCTCCATTTAGTTTAAAATATTACATGTGTTAATATAGGCTCCAAGAGGTATCCTACTCCAACAAGGACTAATGACACAAATGTTGGAACTTAAAACCTTATTAGTCGAACCGAACTAATCAATCAATGTGGCCTAATAAAATACAATGGCCGAAAACAAGATCCATGAGTCTTTGCAACCCATTCCAAAAATTCTAAAAATTAGACAAATGCCTCTATCCTCGAATATAACCGAAATTTTTAGTATCTTATGGACTCTTTCAAATTGTATAGTATTATCTCTTTGGAAAAGACATTGCATTTTTTTGGGTGCAAAGGTAATTCAGTCATATATGGCTTTCTAAACTAATGTAAATAGTAGTGAGTGCTGACTTTTTCTATGTTATTTCATTGCAGGATAAAATGCTTAAATCTACTCAGCGTTTGGTTGCATTTGCTATTATTCATCATGCCTACTCTTCCCAACAGCCTTCTTCAAACCCTCTCATTTCCTTTCTTGTGAATGTAAGTGAAGAGTGACATTCTTGTTATGATTTGATACTTAGAAGCATTCATTATGTCGTCTTGGTATTCATTGTGCATGTGTTTTATTTTGTGACCTTTATATATATTATTTTTGATGTTGGAGTTGATTTTATTGTGGTGTTGGTGGTTGTTATCTAGGTTTTTTAAGGAAGTTTTGAGTAGCAAGAGAGTTCTATAATAAAAGAGTTACTCTATGAGAGTTTAAATTCATAAAGCATAGAAATATGAAGATTAATATTAACCCACAAAGATTTCTAAGGCTGTTCATTCTGCACACAAATTTGTTATTTCAAGAAACAACATAAAATAAATGTGAAACTTCTTTATAAGAAAGGTTTGCTTTAGAATTTGGAAAATATAATATTACGTTCGTGTTGGGGTTCAGGTATTAAAAATAGGAATAGAAGAATTGGGTATGAATCAATTGCCTACAAGTGGGCTCACTAAGGATATACATGCGAATATTAGGTCATAAAATCCTTAGATACACCCAAAACTCTTATTACTCAATACTCTCTCTCAAGCTTGAGTATAAATATCTGTCATGCATAATTTGTTACATAGCTCAACAAATTCCCCTCTATCGAAAGCTTTGGTAAACCATCACCTAACTAATCTCTAAACGTCACATACTTTGTAAAAATATGTTATCATTACCAAATCTCCAACAATTAATTTTTATATGCTTAATTTCTCATGAAATACTGCTGGGCACATGAACTTTGAACATAAAATCTTTACTGTGGAAGCGGAAGAAAGGTCATGGAGTATTGATGTTAACATAACTGAAATAAGCTGAATTTGGACAATACGAAGTATGAATTTGGTTGTTTATCGTTTTAAAAATTTCTATTATTGTTGTAATATTTTTAGGGCCTTCTATATAGTATTTTGAGCATATTGGCCTATACTGTATGATTGTGATTTGAGGCGATGGTCGATACTATAACCTTAAGTTCTGGTGTTAGTCATCTTTTGTCCCTTTATTCCAACCTTGTCTCTTGAATGTCCGGGACAACCAGAGTACTAGTAACACACAAAATATTGGTTTACTATCCATAAAATTCTCTAATCTTGTGACTACTTTAAAGTCTTTGGATGAATTTACTATAGGGGTCAATGGGGGTTGATCGGTTGGACCTCTCGTGAGTCTCAAGTCGTGTTTGTTGGGATTCATTTCCCTAGTCTAGATGTGACATTATGTTAGCATTAAGAGATTCAAGCAATCTTGGCCAAGGTTTTAAGTTTGACTATAAAATTTTGTTGGTTGAGGTAGATGAAGTTTCTTGGGGAGGCTGTGAAGATTATTGAAAGAACTCGTTACATGTCGTTATCAATTGGGTTGGGATGTTTTCATTGGTTGAGTAATACGCATAATATTGATGCATCGGAATGGAGAAACTTTGAAATCTTCTTCATAAAGTTTAGAGTGCAAGGATACCAGTTATGAGTGGAAGTAAATTCCAACAGAAGAGGAAAGTTTCTAACAATCTCTAGAATCCAAAATTATGGTAGTTGGAGATTCATAGTTGTTCCTCAAGTGGTTGATAGCATAGGGTGAGTAAAATTGTTTGAGGTTCTGATTGGAGTTCTAAAACAAAGTCATGAAAGTTATAAAAAGAAATAAATTGTAGGGGAAGGGTGAGGATATAAAGAACGACATAAACAGAGGACAAAATTTCCTTGATCAAAATGAAAATTATATCAGAGAAGATAATGTAAAAACAATGCAATAGTCATCTTAAATATATGTGGTCAATTATGGAAAGTGGGATTTAGCAGTGGTTTTTACCCGATAAAGTATTTTTGATCTATGGAGGTTGATTCAACCAGCTTTTATCAAAGTCTTGAAATTCGAAGATTACTTTGAGTCCCTTCCAAGTGGACAAAGCAATTTTCATTTCTAAAAGTCAAGAAATGGTAAAAGAAATTTGTAAGAATGAGAAGTGTGTTTAAGAAGAATCTTTGGTGATTTGATTGACAAAACGGGTGCCAGAAGGGAATGCAGGTCAAAGCAAAGTATCATTCTTGGGTGTATGGACTGGATTGGAAGGATTGTTGTTGCATCTGTGGTCAATGGAAACATTTGGGAAGATTGGCGCTGACTATGGAGGTCTTCTCGAGGTGGATTACTGAACGGAAATTATTGATAATCTATTCCAAGCAAGAATTAAGGTTGGAAAGATGGAGCCTGGCATTATTCAACTTCTTTGCGAGCCAAGATCCACTAGAAAATTTCTTATTAGTATTAAGGTCATTTTGGCCAGAGCAGCATTCTTTTCATTTAGCCTGTGATACCCCTTACATAATCTGTCTTAAACTTGAATGTCAGAGGTTGTTTATAAAGGTTTGTATTTGTGTGTCTATATGGTGGCCTAGTGCATGAGGCTTCAGTCAGGAGTGAAACAGATGTACACAACCTTACTCTTGCATGAGCAGAGACTATTTTTGTGACTCGAACCTCGGACGTATAGGTCAAAAGGAGTAATGCTATGCCGTGTGTCTATATGATTATAGGAATATGATGATGAGGGTATTTGAGAGAGCGTGTCTTTCCTTCTCTCTCTCTCCCTCCATCTTTCTCACACTTACATGCAACACCCACATGTCGGGTTCAATCTTTAAAAAATTTGGTCCTCTTGTGCCCTTGTACTGCAGTGATACCTGCTTTTTTGATTTAGGTTGTGGTACTTGTACCCACAATTCTGAAGACTTATGGCACAAATTGGTTAACTTGAATTTGGACTTAGAGAGAGACAGAGACACAAAATGACCACACACAAAACATGTAAATAATGTAACAGATAATTGTGTGTTTTATGTAGGAGTTTGCATCAAAGAGAGAGGCTCAAAATGACCACACACAAGGCACAACATATAGTGATGTATTATATGATGGAGATATCATCTCTCTCTCTTTCTCACTCACACACCAAACACTACATACAACAATGAAATAAGCATGCACAAACCTTTTAATAGATTTTGTTCTCTTCTGCACTTGAATGCAATGGCACCTGCTTCATATCAGTTTGGTTGTGATGCTTCTGTTCAGCATTCTGGAGGCAAAACACTACATAGGGCACCTGCATAAGCATGCACAAATCTTTTAAGAGATTTTGTTCTTTTCTGCTCGAGTCTTAAATGCAATGACACCTGGATGTTTTCGATTTGGTTTGTGATGCTTCTATCCACCATTCTGGAGACTTACGGTCAAAGTGGTTAACTCGAGATTGGACTTTGGAATGACCAAGTAAACCTTTCATGTCTCCTTTTCTCAAAGCCGAATGGTTACATGGCAAGCATTATGATGCAGCACGTCTCATTTGCACTCTACGAAACAATAGAAAGACACATTTATTATTTGTCTATGACTTCCAATATTAATTAGGTGCTACTTTTTATTTTGTATTTTCCTGTATATGTAATTGATCATTATGATTGGAGGATCATATATTTGTTCTTCATACTGCTGGGAATTTGCAGGCAGCATGTGATGATGAAGCTGAAAAATGTGAAAGGGCATTTATCCTTCAATTGTTAGGCTCTGCCAGCTGCCCCAATAGTAAAGAGGTTTCATTCAGTTTTTTTTTTCTTTTTTTTTTTTAAACTTTTATAATTTTGATTTGAATTTTGTTGATTAAGATTTTCTAGGCTTCTAGCCAATAGTTGCTTATGCTGTGTGGCCAGAAGTTTGTTGCAACAGTTCATGTGAACAAACATAGCAGATCGACAGCCACCGACTGATTACTTGATTTAATTCATTGCCAGAATGATTAGTTTAGGGTGATTCAGAATCTTAGACGAAAGTTAATTGCAGCAGTTTTTCATGTGAGCAAGCAGTGCAGATCGACACCCATTGACTGATTTCTTGATTTAACTCATTGCAAGAATGATTAGGTTTAGGATGAGTCAGAATCTTATACTTACTCTTAACTGTTTAAAACATTGTTGTTCTTTGAACTTTGCTATATGTGTTGAGGAATGGGTTGTGTCTTAGACTTGTCTACTTAGCAATGCAAGGGCATATTTGTATTGTTGATGCATTCGAGGCGTGGTTCACAAAGCAAACAAGGGTAGAATTTGTATGAAGGTCCCTCTATAGCCACATCAGAGTTTTCACAATTTTCTTACCATAGCCATATCAGAGTTTTCAATGACCATACTCCTATTGTGTTTTAATCCATCTAATTTGCATCTGTAGAAGCTTGGAATTGCTTCCTGTGAAAGGTTTCAATTGGATGCAGTTAATTCTATTCCCGAATGGTTAATTTATAGGCTATGTTTTTTTCTAAGAGATATTCAGGTGACAGTTTGTGTTAACTTATGATTCAGCTAGCAGAATCTATTCATGTCAGGCTGTGTTACGTTTTTTAGTTCTGCCTTTGTGCTTTTCTTTTCTTTCCAGTGCCCTTGTGTTTCTGAAATGGCTGATCTCATACAGGTTCTTCAACAGAGTGCTGTGGATTACATGAACAACTTTGACCTGTCATCACATGTGAGTTGTACAGATACATATTGGCAAATGTGGGTAACTACATATGCTTTTGATTTCAAACTGCACATCATGCCTAAGATGCTGGTGATCCTTGTGATCGAGACAGTGATTTGGGTTTGCATCAATGGCTGATGTGTATCTTCTCCATTTACCCTTAGCTTGATCAATAATTGTACCGTGTTAGGCTTTTCCTCAACGCGAGCAGTTGCAGCAGCAGTATTGTGATAAAGTTCATACACTACCATTTAATTGTTTATTCAAGAACAGTGCTGTCAAAAATGTGGTACCAGACCCTGATGTACCCCGTGGTTGTGATGAAAATTCCCCAGAGTATGACTCGTTGCTTTGAACACAATAATTTTGAGGCTTTAACTCTTTTTGTTCTTTAAAGATTCCAGCTGAGAGATTATCCTAGTCAATTACTCTTGATTGTTTGTTCTGCATTTATTTCTGGCCCATTTTTTCATCTATCTGGCCTTGGGATCAAATTTCAGGTTTGACATGCAGCCTGGAGTTAAACCTAAAATCGGATCTGGCAACAGAGATGAGACACTAATTGGATCATTACAAAACTTATCGCTGGAAGGATTAGGTCCTCGGTGGATTAGGCCATGTCCACCAAGGCTCCCAATACAGGATGGAGAGGTAGATGATATGTTTAAGTAAAAATTAAAAATCATTTGTGAAAATTTTCTTCTATTTCTCCTGGATTTATCCTTGTCAAGTTTCTTGCAGCTAGTTTGGCTGAACCCTGACAACAATCATGAGCTTTTATGGGATTATGGGATGTGTGCTGATACTAGCAAAGGGGCAGCTGTTAGGGATCTAATTGCAAAAGCTTTGAAGGGGCCACTTGCTCCTGCACAACAAGAAGTTCTCTCTCTCTCTTTCCCCCCCTCTCCCCTCCATTGTGCACTAATATCTGCCAAGGCATAAATATAATCGGCCATATTTTATCTTGCCTCAATGATCTGATTATAATTACACAAAAGTGTTCTGAGTTGACTAATTAGGTTCTGAGAAATAACAGTCAACAAAATAATTACATAAAATTATTCTTATACTGTTATTTGTGGTGGTTATTAATTAGGTTACTTTAGAATTACTTATAAGCTAAGAAGTACGGATACGGACACGGTTGTCGTATTCGATACGATATGGACACTGGGATACGATAAAATTCTAAAATATAGGACACAGATATGACAATGATTCAGTTTATTAAAATCATATTATATATTTTTTATATAAATAACAAGACCTAACAATTATTGAGTAGTTGGTTAATATCTTATACTTGAGCGATGAGGTAATATCAAATTTGACAATGGGCTAATATTTTACAATTGTGGTGTGGGCTAACACCAAATTGAATTGTGGACTAAAACCAAATTGGGCAATGGTTTAATTTATTGACAACTAATAAACAAATTATACCAAAAAAGAAGAAAAATATTAAAGGAAAAGTCTCCGTTCAAATCTCGAGAGAGAGAATATAAAAGAGTAAAGACTGAAGAACAACTAGGCAACCACACACAAATCGCTGAAGCATGTAGGAGAATCAGGAAGGAGAGAACAAGAAGGAGAGAGGAAGTAGAAGAAAGAAAGAAGAAAAGGGAAAGAGCGAAGAAGAGATTGATGAGGCCCAATTTGGATGTGATGTATTGAAGAGGAAGAAATCTATGGCTACTTATTTCTTCTCTCAATACTCAAGTCTTAGGTATGGTCTTCCCTCCTCTTCCTCTCCTCGTTGCCAATGTAGATCTAGATACTGGTTTGATCGAAGCCTTCTTCTTCTCTCTATGGTGATTTTGGATAGGGAACGAAGGCAAAACGACATTCGTCCCTCCCCTGTTTTTTTCTATTCCTTTTTCCACCAATAAAGGCAACGTTTCTTTCTTTTTTTCTTTTTCATTTTAGCCCCCTCAATTTTTCAAAATAACAGATGTTACCTTGTCGTAATTCTCTTGTACCTCACGTATCGCCAATGTATCCGAGCCTTATTTGGTTGGAAATTTTTTTTTTTCTGTTCAAGACATTTTTAGAACTGTTGGACATGTGTCCAATCGTGTCTCACGCTTATTCGTGTCGGACACGTGTTCGCCACGTCTACCTCCCAGCAAGTATCCGTATTTCCCAGCTTATAAGTTGGTGTTATATGAATGCACTTGCCAGACTTTGTTGTTGAGATGTGACTATCGATTGGAACTGGAATTTGGTCTAGTTTCTTCTTGTTCTTCTCGGTTTCTTTCTTTTTCTCTTCTACCTTGGTTCTCACTCCTTAAATTTCTATCTTTTTGATGTTTGTAATCTTCTTGTCTTGCACTCCTAGTTTCTATCATTTCAGGACTAAGGGGTAGGCAGACTTGCATATATCGTTTGAAAATCATAGTAGGTACCGGGGTGAAGAGCACGTGAATTGTAAGAAAAAAATGGAACTAGCGCCTACTATCTAAAGAATTTTAGTTCTGTGTTTCAGAACAAAATTGTCAAATGGATGCCCCTTTTGACAATTTCGATAAAAACAAATACAGTGTACAAACCAAATGCTTTTGGCTTAGGATATAAATTCACGCTATCCTTGAAAATTAGGGAGAAAATTAATTATCAAAAAAGAAGAAAAGGAAAAGATGTTAGTGTAGAATGTCAGGTTATTTTAATTAAGGGTATTATTGTAATCTACAATTTACTATGAGTTAATGTAAATGTGGGTGATTAGAGGAGAGGTACGTTAACTCTCATTCTCCTTAACCCTTTTTTCTAGTCTCTTCATTCTCTTTTCTCCTCTCTTCCCTGTTCTCCACCAAAAATCTTAGAATCTAAGATCTTTAAATTCAACTTGGTATTAGAGCAATTAAGGATGTTCGAAATTTCGCCCACCTGTCCAGTTTCGCATCCTTTCGATATGACCCTACTCGATTATTGGAATTTTACAAAATTTCGACTAGCCAATGGAAGAAATTTTATTATTCCATAAAACCGCGCGTAAGAATACGAAATACCCATAAACATTCGGCATTCCTATCAGATCTGCACATATATTTGATTTTTTTTTAAAATAATATATTTTGGTATAAAACGACGTCGTTTTATATGCTCATATTATCGAATTTATTGCGTTTGCTTTAGTGTTATTGGTTTATTGTATTTGTTACATGTTCTTATATTATATTTTAATACTCTAATTGTACAAGTTGCTCAAAAATTTTGTAATTGAGTTGTTAAAATGACCAAAAAATTAATAACTTAAAAATTAAAAATATGTGAGATATTCCACATTCCTACCCGACTTTCAAGTCAATTTTTTGGACGGAATTCAACTTGGAACATTACTCTCGATCGAGTAGGGTTGGCCAAGAAATTGGCATTCCGCAATCCATTGGCTCGGAAGATGGAATGCACTATTTCTTACCCGTCGGCTTAGGTGAAGAACAGCCGAAAGTTCCAAGTCACTCAAGAAGGCGTGTTGCTGGTGTCATTGCCAAAAGCTACGAAACACGACATGGTTTGAGTCGGTTTTGCCTTATGATTATAATGATAATTTTTTTGGAATTTTTTAAAGACATCTAATGTGTTTTTTCGAATTTTGAATGTTTTTCGAAATTTATGAGTTATATTTTGCGATCTACTGTTTGGCAAAGTGTTCGACCATTCCAACCACTTTAATGCAAGGTGATGACCAAGTCTTTTAGGAGCTTTGGTTGAGTTCTATGCACATCCTACCGAGTTTTTGGGGATGTTGCTCCACATGTGTTTTCTTGCTCCGTTGTGGTGTTTTACTTGGGGTAGTAATATTTTGGCCTCAATTGTGACTCTCCAGTCTCCGACAGTGGTGTTTTGCTCTCGACTTGTTTGTGCACTACAAGTTTGTGCTTTGTGTTTTTTGGAGAGTTGTGGCCTCTATGAAGGTCTTTTTGTATTGTAGGTTGCTAGGTTTGGGCTTTTTTGCTTTTCTAACTGCTAGTTTGGTCTTTTTTTGTGTTGGGTTAATCTCAAAACTGCTATTCAGTAGTTGGTTTATGTTAGGAAAATTCTATTTTTCTGAGTAGACATCTTTAGAGTTGGTGCAGATTATACTAAGAAAGGTGGTGAGTCGTGTAGGGACTCTTGAATGCAATTGTTCGCTCCAGATCAGTCCAACAAAATTAGATGGGGGCAACTATTTAGCTTAGACCCGATCATGCATGTTATTAGCGCAAACAAGTGGGCTAAATGGATACTAGAAAGTAAGAAACCCAAATTTGAATTTGATTTGAGCCAATGGATCTCTAAGAATTCGTTGGTAATGACATGGTTGTTCAACTCGATGAATCCTCACATTAGTTGTGGTTTTCTGTTTCTTGGACAATTTGTGAGATTTGGTCAGCGGTGACTCAAACATATTCACACGTCGAGAATGATGTCCAGATTTATGAGTTTTGAAGAAGATTCATAAAACCAAACAAAGGGATATTACTATTGTAGAGTATTCTGCAGGATTGAGTAGTCTATGACAGGTACTAGGATTTTCAAACAGATTGTATTGGAGATAGTGCTAAATTTTAGAGGTTGATAGAAAAGGAACGAGTATATGATGTTCTTGTATGTCTCAATATGGAGTATGATCAAATCAGTATGCAGGTTTTGGGTAGAGATCCTTCTGCTTCCTTGAAGAAAGCATATGTTTCTTTGCAGCAAGAGGAGAGTAGGAGTATCATGCTTTATAATCCTACTCATGATTGGTCTGCTCTAGCAGCTATTCCACATAGAGATAACATATCTTTTTAGCCTATGGTAATGATAAAAATGGGAGCATTGAAAAGGATTTGATAAAATGTGACTACTGTATAAAGATGAGACACACTAAAGACCATTGCTGGAAGCTGCATGGTCATCCTTCTAGAGAGCGTGGTGGTAATAGGACTTGTCCTGTGCATTCACATGCCCATATGAATGAGACTGCTATTCTTACCTCCAGCGGTCTATCTCCATTTATTGGTACTAATAGTGCAAATTTTATTGTTGATGAGATGTAGGTTCTCACGCGTCTGATGGCCTATCTTGATACTTCTTCTACATCTACTTGCACTTATGCTGTTTTCAACTTTGCTCACATAAGTATACATGCCAGCACTTTTACTGTGTCTTGTTCCTCTAATCTTTGGATTATCGATTCCAGAGCCACTAACCATATGACAGATTCTCTTTACTCTATTTGCTCAAAGGTGTTTGGTTGTTAGTGTTTTGTACAAGATTATCGAAGGACGAAGGAAAAATTAGATCCAAAGGCGTTGCATTGTGTCTTTATTGGCTACTCTGCTATCCAGAACGGGTATAAATGTTATGTATGTTAGTATGAATGTCACATTCCATGAGACAGAGCCGTATTTCTCTACTCCTCCACCATCTATTCATGGGGAGTAGTGTATTGAAGAAGAGATGTTAGAGGATGTATTTATTCTCTTATCTCCCAATTAGTGCTCGAGTCAAGGACAAAAATCTAGCTGGGGGAAGCCTTAGGGAGAAACACCTGTTTGAGGGGAGCAGACTACTCGTGGAACATTACATAGGAATGATCTGCGATGCTATACTCACGACAAGCTAAGTATATCACCACCTGTGAGCCACTAAAGTGAATTATCATCTCTTGAGATCTCTTCCCCTATATTAGGTAACTAATAATAACCTGAGCCTAAAGGCATTGTAAAACACAGAAAAATTGAAATCGGTTTATTTTTCTTTCATTTTCTATAATTACACAATTTGAAATCAATCTTGTCGACTATTTTCTAAAAGCAATTGATCGAATTTTCTCAAAAAAAAATGACCAAAACAAAATTAATCTGAGCACACAGTCTCTATGTTTTGATAACCATGCCTCAAAACCCAAGTAAGTGGTACATGCAAGTTTATTATTGAAAAAAATTATAAAAAACACACAACCCAAACCAATTACATGAATCACTATCATGCCACAATATACTAATCATCATTTGGTCACTTTTTTCAAAACTAATCAACCCAACAAATATAACTACACAAACTTGAAAAAAAATTAACACTAATGCTATTGAGATATAATTTAGGGAAATAATTTGGGGACTTAATGCATTATGATCATTGAATTGATAGTGTTAGGATCCAGTGATAATTTAATGTTGGGACCCACTGACAATCTAATGACTACAATTATTAAGTCTCCAAATTATGTCCCAATAGCATTGCTAAAAAATTAATGAAACTACTAACTATCAACACATGTACGATTTAAATTCCATGACTTTCAACTCAAACTTAAAGTAGGAATTCTTTATTCAAAACTTTGAATGATCATTAGTAGTTAGATACTTATAGGCACCAACCACACATACATTAAGCATTATAATCACATATTGAAAGCCATCAAGCTAATCAGTAAAATCTTCTAAAAAGTTTAGGAAAAAGATAGTTTAATTCA